AGTGGGTCATTACCCTGAAATTTCAGCCTCCTAGACTCCGTGGTTCCCGAGATATTTACTTACCCGCGAAAAACTTTTAGGGGCCGCACGCGTTACCCGTGGGTACGGGGAAGCTGAATTTAAATTTGCTGGGTCACACATGGGTGGGGAACGTCCCCCTATTCAGCGCTTTCCTGCTTTTGTGGTCCCCGAGTTGAAAGTTGCGGACAAGTTGCTGCGGACACACACACACACACACAAACACACACATACAGACAACCCCGTAACAATATGCGTTTTGTACTGCTGTTACACAGCACAAAACGCATAACCCGTAACAATATGCGTTTTGTACTGCTGTTACACAGCACAAAACGCATAAAAATCAGCCCCAGGCTATGCGTGATTCTCACGTGAAGGCGTAAGAAAGTTTCTGCGGGAAAATTTTGACTCAAGAACCAGAAAAGCTAGGAAGCTGAAGTTTTAGGGGAAGTCCCCTGTCCAAGTACAACTTAATTATTTCAAATTTAGCCTACGTATTAACCAAGCATACTTATGCGTGGTTCTTACGTATAGGCACTTAAAAGTCTTTACGGAAAAATCTCTCACTGGACAACTAGGTTACTTTTAAAGAACGACTGTTAAATGGGAATTGCACATTTACTTTGCAAAATTTGTGGTGATTTATGCTAGTGACCGCAACAGGTAGGTGTAAAGCAATAGCAGTTCTTACAGTTAATGACTTAAGTAATTCAAGTACGGTTCCAAAACGCATGATCGCACGGGCCCGCCTGATGCGTTCCAGCCCGGGTTTGAGTGAAGAAATCTTTAAATGAGAATAGATTTCATTTACTTATTCAAATTAAAACCTCTTCTTTGTTCCCTGTGTGAGGGACGAAGACAGATGAAAGTAAGCCGAGTGGTAGCAAGTGCCAACAACAACCATCTGCTGGCAAGGCCATCAATGGCTTTCTCTTGTGGTGGTTTCGAAGCACGCTGGTGCGATAGGTTTGGCTCACTAGCATATGCTAGTACCAATAATTTACCATATAATTCTAAGAAAGTTTCTGTTGGGAGCAAGTGATCTTGCTCTCCCCTTTCGAGAACGTTCCAGCGTACAACCCGGATCCGGAGCGTAGATCGACTGGAGAAGTTTAGGGCAGTGTGTTGGCGATCGACAGGACTGTGCGGCCGCCACAAGAAGGATCGACATCTCCCCCAGCAGCAGCTTCGACAGCGGCTCTAGGGACGTGGAGTGTGAAGGCCGAACGGACCGTGCTGACCGTGGTACCCCGGTCAGCACCAACCGAAGAATCATAGACTCGGAGCTCCGTAATTACCGGTGTTGACATTTTCTGTTGGACTAATAAAAATCGAACTCGACGTGTGTCGCAACGGACACAACAGTTACCTTCGAACATCATCATCTGTGGTCGAATGAGGGAGGGTCAGCTTTGGTGTTCTGTCAGAAAGATGCGGTCGATACAACTGAATATATTTACTAGTATTCACCCGCACAATGAAATGCAGTAAAGATACAGTTTTAAATAAATCACCGATTTAAATTTTCAAACCGTATCACAGACAGATAAGATAACAAAAGGCACACACAGGTGGTATTTCATTTCAGTATTGAACATCTTCCATAGTAGCAGCAGCAACAAACAACGTATAAACAGCGAGCGAGATCCGTTAGCTTCATTTACCCCGTTTCCACGGTACTGGACCTCTGGTTTTGAAAAAACTGCTGAGAGCACTGAGGGGGATCCAAAAACCGGATATTATTGAATTCCATTCAAATTTTGTACAAATTGTCTAGCCCCTACAGTGACAGTTTCCCCTCGATCTAACAGACTCCCAGGACAACAATTGCGAATCAAGGTAAGAGATATTGCTAAAAAAGCATATTATTCTGTAAATTATTGAAACAGCCGACAAACGTACATTTACCTCGGATAGCCCACAGAAACTGGTTCCAATCCGTCTTGATCCACTCTTCACGACTGCAACAGTGGTTTTAACAAAAAGCTTCACAAAACGCATAATGAATAGTTCTGCGATTATTTTGATAAGAACATGAATGCCCACGATAACTGAGATTATTAAAAAAACATTCTAAAATTCCGTACACTTACCTTTGATCGATGCCGTTATATCTTTCCGTAACTGTAATCAGTGGACCTATGTCAGCAAATACGATGCTTCGTCCCTTCAGCGTCGGATCATTTGGTTCGAAACAAAATTCGCTGTTCCTACAAATATCTTTTTAGTGAACAAATCATTCAACAAAACTCGCTATTTTATCTTAGGAAAGCAAGAGCAAATGTGATGCTGTGTTTCCTCGGCATGTTTGGAGCTGTCAGGTTTTTTCAAATCCCGCCATACTTAAAATCGTCTGATCCATTGCTGTAGAGCGAGCAAAAGATGGCGCGCAGGAGAAGCAAGGAGCAATCCAGAAACGTGCAGCAGTTTGACCCGTGATCTGTCCCGCCCTTTGTGATGAGTATTTAAGATTGCAAAATTGTTATAAGATTGAGTGTATGTTCAGTATCGTCATCGAGTGTCTTCCGTGTTGTCGTGTTCCTAGCGTTCGTCGTCCGCGTCCAGCGGTCCAGTGTAGCAGTGTGGTGCTGCAATCTAGCCACCAGCATACTTCGTCCGCAGCAGCTGTCGCTGCAAGCTCCCGATTTAATTTCCGTCGTACCACCGAATCACGTGTAATCTTGTATTAGTATTGATAAAGTTTGTTTGTTACTCCACTCTGTCCACTACGCGCCACAGTACATCAGCATTCATCCAATTTCCCGTCCGAAGCTCGTCGTAACACCCTTGTCGTCGTTGTCATCCTCGTAACATTGCCACTTTCACACTACGGTGGGATGTCTGATTTCTAAGAGAAGTAGATAAAGAGGACAGAAAAAATGAGGGACAATTTGAATGACGGGACTACAGCAAAGGGGTCAAAATTGGGGAAAGGGGGGAGGGGTCAGCCTATTCGCACAACAAGCAGGTTAGTGAGATATCGCGTAATGCAGACGTGGTTGATACTTACCTCTCGGCGTAGGTGAAAGTATGGTCGATTTCGGTGGCCACCTGTAGCATTTCCAATATATTCTGTTCATCGGCAAGCCGATAGGGATTCTCGAACGACAACAGTTCCATTGCTGTGGGCAATACGTTTTCCGCACTCTGAAACACATACCAGATCATCAAGAACAAGTAACTTTTTTTGCTAGCAATAGCTTTTTAAAGTACGGTCCGTGCTTACACTGCCCCAGCATTTATATTAGCCATCTTATGGAAGGCCGTCCTCACTCGCCAAGACAGACGGAGAGGTCAGCTCAGCTTTACCACTAGTGTAAAATCCACTGCGGGTTGTTTTCAGATTACAAAAATTGGCCAACGCACGGGCTGCCCGTGCGAAGATGCGTTTTTTGCAGAGTTCCCCGCA